CCCGGCCCGCCGCGCCTCGTTAGTGCCCACCCGGCCCGGATGGTTCTGGAGTCTTCTCCGCACCCAGGCAGGGCGTGTGGGCTGCGGAACGGCCCGGAAACCGTGTCTGTGGTGGGGCCGGAAGGCTCCTTGGCAGGGCGCGTGTCATGGGTCCCGCTCAAGGCGGAGCGCCAGCTGGCTGGGAGCAGCAATAGGCCGAGGGGGCGGTGGTCGTGGGGATTCCTCCCTCTCGCCCTGCGTCGCGCTGCCGCTGTTCCAGGCAGCCGGGGGGCCCGAGAGGAAGGTGGAACGGCCCGGAAACCGTGTCTGTGGTGGGGCCGGAAGGCTCCTTGGCAGGGCGCGTGTCATGGGTCCCGCTCAAGGCGGAGCGCCAGCTGGCTGGGAGCAGCAATAGGCCGAGGGGGCGGTGGTCGTGGGGATTCCTCCCTCTCGCCCTGCGTCGCGCTGCCGCTGTTCCAGGCAGCCGGGGGGCCCGAGAGGAAGGTCTAGGCAGCAAGAAAATGGGGAGACTGGCTGCACTTTCCCCCCACGGCCCCAGCGCTCGGGGGCTCCCGGCAGAGACCTGGGGAGCCCTAGTGTGGTGGTGAGGTACAGCCAGGCCTGCCGATGGGGCAGCATGAGGCTAATTGAGGGGTGTCAAAGGGGCCTGGGGCTTTCAGCTGTCACGGCTGCTACTGTGTCTCATAGACTCATAGACTTTAAGGTCAGAAGGGACCATTATGATCATCTAGTCCGACCCCCTGCACAGTGCAGGCCACAGAATCTCACCCACCCCTCCCAGAATAATCCTCTCACCTAGATCTCAGATATTGAAGCCCTCAAATACTTTGAAGGCCCCAACATGCAGAGAATCCTCCAGCTGTGATCTGTACCCCATGCTACAGAGGAAGGCGAAAACCCTCCAGGGCCTCTGCCAATCTACCCTGGAGGAAAATTCCTTCCTGACCCCAAATATAGCGATCAGCTAAACCCTGAGCATGTGGGCAAGACTCACCAGCCAGACACCCAGAAAGTTCCCTATAGCAACTCCTATCATCCCTCCATTGACCTATTTCCAACTGATAATGAATGGTCAATTAGTTACCAAGATCATGTTATTTCATCCAACCATCCCCTTATCATAGAATCATAGAACTGGAAGAGACCTCAGAAGGTCGTCAAGTCCAGCCCCCCGCTCTAGGCAAGACCAATCCCATCTAAATCAACCCGGCCAGGGCTTTGTCAAGCCGAGACTTAAACACCTCTAGGGATGGAGACTCCACTACCTCCCTAGGTAACCCATTCCAATGCTTCACTACCCTCCTAGTAAAATAGTTTTTCCTAATATCCAATCTGGACCTCTCCCACCACAACTTGAGACCATTGCTCCTTGTTCTGCCATCTGTCACTACTGAGAACAGCCTCTCTCCATCCTCTTTGGAACCTCCCTTCAGGAAATTGAAGGCTGCTATCAAGTCCCCCCTCACTCTTCGCTTCTGCAGTCTAAACAGACCCAAGTCCCTCAGCCTCTCCTCGTAGGTCATATGCTCCAGCCCCCTAATCATTTTGGTTGCCCTCCGCTGGACCCTCTCCAATGCATCCGCATCCTTTTTGTAGTGGGGGGGCCCAGAACTGGACACAATACTCTAGATGTGGCCTCACCAAAGCCGAATAAAGGGGAATAATGACATCTCTGGATCTGCTGGCAATGCTCCTCTTAATGCAACCTAATATGTCATTAGCCTTCTTGGCTACAAGGGCACACTGTTGACTCATATCTAGCTTCTCATCCACTGTAACCCCCAGGTCCTTTTCTGCAGAACTACTACTTAACTGGTTGGTCCCCAGCCTGTAACAATGCTTGGGATTCTTCCGTCCCAAGTGCAGGACTCTACACTTGTCCTTGTTGAACCTCATCAGATTTCTAGTGGCCCAATCCTCCAATTTGTCTAAGTCACTCTGGACCCTATCTCTGCCCTTAAGCGTATCTACCTCTCCCCCTAGCTTAGTGTCATCTGCAAACTTGCTGAGGGTGCAATCTATCCCCTCAGCCAGGTCATTAATAAAGATATTGAACAAAACCGGTCCTAGAACCGAACCTTGGGGCACTCCGCTAGAAACCGACCGCCATCCTGACATCGAACCGTTGATCACTACCCGCTGGGCCCGGCCTTCTAGCCAGCTTTCTATCCATCTTACCGTCCATTTATCCAATCCACATTCCCTTAACTTGCTGGCAAGAATATTGTGGGAGACCGTATCAAAAGCCTTGCTAAAGTCGATGTATATCACATCCACTGACTTTCCCATGTCCACTGAGCCAGTTACCTCATCATAGTGTCAGCAGCTGGAGCCCCGGCCCCTAAATGCCCGCCAGAGGGCGTCCTGCCGTGCTCCGTGTGGCATTGAGGGATGAGGGGGGCATGCTTTAGGCAGCGCAGAAAGCTTGGGGGGGGGTGCTGTGCCCCAGATGGCGCCGAGGGCTGGCTACCTCCAACCCCACCCCCTGCTGCCTGAGATCCCGCCCCTCCTGGGAGCACGGAGCTGGCCCCCACCTTTTCCCGGGGCCGGCGGAGGCTGTCAGTGCCCCTGTGCAGGGCCTGGGCCGGGGAGCTCTCTGCAGAGAGAGAATGCTCCTCCATAAAATCGGTCGCTGACTCGTTTGGGGCTGCCCCTGTCCCCAGGGAAGCAGTTGATCCAGCGCGTCTCCCAAGTCAACCAAGTCCTGAGCTTCCTCCTGGGGAAGGTGCTGAACAAGAGGCAACTGCAGGCCATCCGGACGAAACGGAGACACCGAGAGCTACTGTGGGGGATGCCAAGCCCGTACCCCGAGCTCCAGGGCCCCCGGAATACCTCTCTAGAAATTGGAGGCCTCATCAAACTGCCGGAGGGTAAAAAACTGCCACCAGGAAAACCGTGCTGTGACAGGCCACGTGCCCATCGCCGTGGTTGAACAAGAGGCAACTGCAGGCCATCCGGACGAAACGGAGACACCGAGAGCTACTGTGGGGGATGCCAAGCCCGTACCCCGAGCTCCAGGGCCCCCGGAATACCTCTCTAGAAATTGGAGGCCTCATCAAACTGCCGGAGGGTAAAAAACTGCCACCAGGAAAACCGTGCTGTGACAGGCCACGTGCCCATCGCCGTGGTATCCGGGCAGGGCCGTAGGTGTCCCAGCAGCCCCTCCGAACCATGTCGGGGACAGGCGGGCCGGGGG